AACGGTTCAATATCGATACGAATATCGTTGCACCCCTATTAAAAACAGCACTGTGCAGTTAAAAACAATTAAAATACTGTTTATGTGTAGAAAGCACTGAAACTGAGACTTCTGTAATATCAATGTGTACATACGCAGACGAGCAGGGCGGGGATGGGCGTACATTTCTTATAGTGGATCATGGCCAGCAGGCTGGGGAGGTGACCTTCTCTAGCTCCCGAGAAGCACAACCTGTTGATAGGAAAACCAGCCCGAACTTAGCAGCTGCTTCATTATTCAAAACCACAGAAAAACAGGAAGCCCGGCTCACCTGGAAGACGTGAACAGGTAGCCGTTGATTCCTCCAAAGGTAGACAGAGCCACAGAGATCGGCATGATGACGGAGAACATTCCCAGCAGCTTCTCACCAAACGTCTGGAGAGCAGAACAACAGAAAGATTGACCAACACGCTCAGACCACAGCGGTGTTCTTTTAATCTGTTCCCGCAGACTCTGATTGGCTGAGCTAAGCTGAAATAGATTTCCTCACTTTTAAGCACACTGGAACAAAGGGACAGGTACCCATGAGTCTGATTTAGTCAGAATCAACCAAACTTTCTTTTTCATCAGAACGTTGGGATATGAAGACGCTTTTTGTTGAGTTTTATTTTCTTGACTTTGAGTCCTCTCCACAACCAAAGCTTAACACTGATTGGTTACTGATTGCATGTATACGTGTAAAGGTTTTACAATGTGTTGTGGGAGGGTTTTCAGTCTGTGTGTGCATATTTGACTACTTTGTCAATCCTAGATGTTAATGTATTTTATAGGGTATTTAGTATGTGGTGCTCTCTCCAACACTGGGGGATATAACTCAGCTGCATAACCAGCACAACATGTCAGAGGAAAAATGTGTAAATTTAGCTGTGGGAGGGCCTACCCCTTTAATAGTGGTTAACTTTACCTGGTTCATCAGGCTACGTCTCCAAATGCAGGCTTTGTCTGTCTTTGTGTTACACATGACTGCTCCCTTTCTACCTTTCCCCTCGAAACACAATTTAAAAAGCAGTTTGGTTGCATGAACACGTCATTTTCAGCAGAGTTGGACATCGAGACCATGATTTCCATGTTACTCACTACAGCCACAGCATTGGATGACAGCAGCTCCTCGGGCGACATGGAGGAGAAGTAGGCGATGTTGGTGAGCGTGTACACAAAGGTCACCAATGGGATGGAGATGTAGATGGCACGAGGTAGATTCCTGACCGAGGCCACGCACCATGCACAAACGACACAGTCCAAACCAAAACATTTACAACCACATGTGAAGTTGAGGGATGAGCTTTTCAAGCAGGAAGGTCTGGTGGTCAGCTCACTGAAACGAGTGAGCTGACCACCAGACAGCAGACTCCTTTCAAAGTGGAAATATTCGGCTTATTTCCCGTCATATATGGCACGTCCCTGTGGTGCATGTTCGGAATACTTTAATTATCCCCAAGGAAATTATGTGGTTGCTCCAAGACATTAACAGTAACAGACTTAACTAATTAAATAATACAATACTTTACAAAGTTTACAGATTTAAGAAAAAGCACTAATATATTTTAACTCTAACCTGTGAAACTTTTACTGTAGAGCATGAAATTAAAGTTTTAGATCAATGTCTGCACAGGAAGTCCCTGTGAGACAGAATCTCAGGCTTCACAGTTTTTTTTACTCCTAGCTCTGTATGATGTCACGGAGAGGGGATGTCCCTAATTTGATCATCTCAGGCAAAAAGAGCCCCACCCACTTCGCTTCCAATTTTCCATCAACCGATCAGAAGACAGTTGATTTAAAAGGGGAGGAGCTAAACGTCTCGTTTCAGACAGAGGATGAGCTGAGGATCTGCAACACAGAGACCCTCAGAGGAGGATTATTTTGAACTGTGACTCATGTAAAGCTCCTCTAGCAGAGTCCAAGAATGAAAACATGGAAATGAGCAGAAAGGATCCACTTTAAAGGAAGTTGCATATATTTATATTTTACTCACATATTTGGTAACACTTCATAATAACCATCAGTGATAAATGGCAACCTGACAGTTAACTAAACTGTAGTACTGTTCCAAGCAGTGGAAAAATCATAAAATAATAAATAGTTAAATAATTATTTTACATGAAAACTGCTGCGGCCTCACAGGCCTTCAGCATCGGTCCTGTGTGTAATACATGACTTTTTTAAGTAACTCCAACAGTGAAGAGCCGAGGGGCAGACAAAAGGAAACAGAAGTCCCTCTGACTCATCAATGTACACCAGCTGTATGGTTTCCGATCCATTTACCTATTACTGAACATAAAAGTTAATTAACTAGAAATTTTCCATTTATTAACCCTGTCAGGTCTCATCAGCAATGACCTTAAGCCTCATTCTTTCCTACTAGATGTCATTTTTCTGTTGTTCTTGTGTGTCTTAGCAAACAGAAAGCAATAAATAAAGAAATAAAGAAAAGCGTGAACCTGTAAGCCTCACAGCCGGTTTTTATAAAGTGTTACCACGTCTTATTTAACACGGTCGTGGTGAATAAAAACGGAGAAATAATGAGGATCATGGAGCATCACTCTGCTGAAAAAAGAAAGTTGTAGCAGCCAAAAACAAACATTAAAGGAAGTGTTAGACATCATTTGGTTTGATTGACGGAGGATTACAAAAGTGCAAGATTAGTTTTCAGATTATATTTTGGTCTCAGCAGTTGCAAAAAATTGCAGCACATTAACAATCTCATTTGCTAAGTAGGACCTTTTGATGAGTTGGTGGTGATCTGGTTACTGTAAGCAGGCTAGTTTCTCACTTTCCAGTCTCCTTGATTTTCCTCGATGTCTGACGTTTCCTTTAAAGTTTCATTTGGATGAAGTTCTCGTGTTTGGGCACTTACATATCTTCAGAACGTTCCCAATAATTTGTGAAAGCAAAACCACGGTGATGAGAAGTGTGAATATTCACCGTCTGGGTTCGACCACCTCCTCTGTCACGTAGTTGAGGAAGTTCCAGCCGCTGAAGGCGAAGGACGCCTGCAGGAAGGCGAGCGCGATCTGCCCAACCGACGGCGTCCTCTCCAGAGAGAAGGCCACCTGAGGCGTCAGCGCCTCGTAGTTTCCTGGTGGTTACATGAGACATCAGAGCTTTTAGCTTTACCTCAGGAAGTGGAAAAGTGTCAGATCTGTTGAGGGCTGGCAGATTTACCATTGAAGATCTGGACCAGACCAACTACAATGATGAGGCCCAACGCCATCAGCTTCCCCACCGTGAAGACGTCCTGGATCCTGGTGGCCATGCGGACGCTGGAGCAGTTCACCCAGGTCAGCAGCACTGAGCCGAGCACAGAACCTCGTTAACGACACACTCGGGAGGACAGAGAGTGCTCAGAACATCTCTACAGTTTAAAGGTCAAACTTGGCACGTCTCCATTAAAGATCAAAAACTATCAGCTGATTCTGGGGGGGGGTTATTACTGCAGAAAGCTCTCCTCAGGAAATGAATGCTTAGGATTTGTTATTTTCTTTCTGCACAGCTGAATAACCTCCACACATTAATGAAACTTTTAAATGAACCACCAATAAGCAGTAACGTGTCTCCAAGCTCAATCCTTCTGGGCTCAGGTGCTCCTGTTCACAGCTGCATGCTGGAGGTCACCGCTCTGTGGAGCCACATCTGGGCTGAGAGTTAAAGAATAATGAAGGAAAAAAGTTTAAAATTTAAGCCCTCCTTCACATTTCCCAAAGCCCTATGGTGGGCCCTCGGGGCTTATGTTTGACAGCCCTGATCGGGGGGAAGGACAACTCTGATTTCTTTGAGAGTCAAGGAAAAGGCTATGGAAGTCAATCCAGACAGAAACATCTGGAGTGGAACCTCTAAGCTGCTAGCGATGGCCTTTCCTCAAGGCAAGGAGGAAAGGCCTCCTGGAGTAAGACCTGTCTGGGTAAGAGGACAACACAGGTTTGGATCACCAGTCCCCGTCTGACTGGGACTGAGCTGGACATCACTGGAGACTGACCAAAGGTTGCTGGTCTGGACTGAGATCAACACGTAAAGCCGGTGGAGTGCTCCTTTAATAAGATCAGCAGCAGTATCTGGTCTCCATCCCGCGGTCCCAGTGCGGGTACTCTCACCGGCAGTGGGCGGCAGCAGCCGGTTACCCTGGGAGGCAGGAATGTGGGAAAAGGCCGAGTGAGAGAGGGCGTGATTGTTTCACCTCGTCTATCACTGTCAGCGGCTTTCCCCTGCTCGCTCTCATGGTGGCCTCGCTCTCCGGCACAAAGGCAGGCTGTCAGCCACACAAAACAAACCACTTCCGTTGCGAAGGGCGAACAAAACCGTCTGGGTGCCCCTCGGCCACCCTCCGAGGAGGCCGGATCGAGCTCACGTTTCAGGATCCCGTTCCAAGAACGAGTGTGAAGGAGGGCGTCAGGAGTCCAGCTGTCTCTCTTCAGATTCCAGCTCAGACATTATTTACTCATTGATCAGGCATTTGCAGCTGGTTACAAGACATCAACCAATTAGGCAGCCCGAGGGGTCGTGACCTCTGCTCGGGCTGTCCTCACTGACTGTCCTTAAACGTCTAATGACACTCGCTGTCTTTGAATCAATTCTTGATAAAAACAGCTGAATTTTTCGAGTCACACCCTGCTTTTAAGATTTTTTCTCAGATCTAAGAGTTTTTATTTTACCCCACTGGATTAGTGAACTTGCAGAGTTTTTATAGCCAGCCTTTCCAGTCACTCCATAGTGTAGTAGCTTACACATTTACCTAACAAGCCAAGGCCATCAGTCCAAACCCAGGAGGAGACAGTCCCCTCACGGACAACTTCACAGTGAAAGGAATGGGACCAAAGAGTTAGCTTATGTCCTCCATGTTAATGTGTCTAACAGCTTAATTCAGTGCTGACAAGCAGTAAGTGTTTGAGACATTCAGACAGTCTTTGCAAAGGTCCAGGTAGCATGGAAATGACCCTGTACTGACAGTTTACAGCCATCTATTAGATTCCTGTTGTTATGTGCTGGAGTACAAATGTATATAAAAACTGGCAAGTGTTAAAAGAGCTGCAGTTCCTCTGATGTCCAAAGTTCAAACTACCGCAGAAAAACAAATGTTTGCAGCTGATACAAACACAGTTTTGCTCTCTATAGACAGACTTCGCTCAGCTAACTGGAGCGCCTGTGCTGTTGTCACTTCTACCTCCATAAAACACACACGGTGACCAAAATTTCAGCACTGAGGTTTCATGACTGGACCTCCCAAAACCAATCACGTGTGACTTTAATGCACTTTTATACAGAGTTTATAAATACATGAAACTGCCATGATTTGAACTGTGTAACAGAAATGCTGGACAGCCGTGAGAGGGCAGAAAATCTGCAGAGCCGAAGAGCAGAGAAAGCAGCCGGGTCACTTTTCTCGCCGTCTTTCTTCTCGTTCTTTACACAGAGCTCACTTCATGTGTGAACAACTGAGTTTAACAGCATGAAAGCCTTCGACGAGGGTTTGTTCAAAAGTGTGTGCCATTATGCTCATTTCTACCATTCACTGCACTTTGTCGCTCTCTATGAAGGCAGACTTTTGACTCTGCTTTGGAGTGTAGCCTTTCAGAGCAGCTATAAACACTCAGCTTTGTGCAAACTGTTTGCTTTCAAGCAGAATGTGAAACAAACATCCCTCTGCTGCTGCTTCTTCAGTTCATTCACACCCTGAGCACCAAACCGCTCTATAGAAACTGTAAACTGCCACACACATGACGCTGAATAATGGACCCACTGACAGACAAAACATGGATAATCTTTGATTCGGAGGGTTTAAATGATTTTAGCTCATCTCATCTCCTGGTCCTGCTCTTCTTCCTCCTCCAGGATTCCAATGCATTTTTTATTAGAAGCATTTTAACACACTTTACTCTCCTCCGACATTCAAGTAATGCTGCATCACTGCTCTCTGGAGCACAGAGGGAAGATGAGCACACAACGAGCAGCACGGCAGACTCGCAAGCCGCAATCTGCAGGTCCATGACGTAATTCTCCACGCTGCATCACACCGAACATGTGATTTTTTTTTATTAAATGGTAAATAAATGGTAAATGGCCTGCATTTGTATAGCGCTTTACTCAGTCCCTAAGGACCCCAAAGCGCTTTACACTACATTCAGTCATCCACCCATTCACACACACATTCACACACTGGCGATAGCAAGCTACATTGTAGCCACAGCTGCCCTGGGGTGCTTTTTTTACACAGAATTTCTGCCTTATTCATTCTTCCCGTTGGCCACTCCACACAAAATCCCCCAAATCTGGAAACACATTCAAGCTCTGTTAAAAAGAGCAACCAGTATGTTTCTGATCAGCACAACTGTTTCTAAAGATGAATGCTGAGCAGCAGTATCATGGGACACAGCTGAGGTCAGAGGTTTCCATCCACTCGTCACAGGCTTGAACCTCACAGTCATTTTGGGCTTTTAATGATTTCTTGGAACGGTTCTTCTTCCAGGATGGACAGTTTTAAAAAACTTAAACAGGATCTGGGTGCTCAAGTCTGAATTGATTTTGATGTTTACGTGCACATGCTGAAAGCTTGTGATAAATGATGTTGGAGGTTCTTCAATGTCTTTAAACTTGGCCGAGGCCTGTTAGCTTCTCATTAGTGATCATGGTTAATTACGACTGACAGATTCTCTCTGCAGCATAAAAACGATTTGTTTGACAGCATTCACTGGATTGACCAATACTGGGAACAATGGGAAAGTCCAGCCATCTCAGTGAAGATCTGAAAAGCAGAAGTTGGGAAAGTCTCTCTGAGCCGTTTCTGAGCAAGGATCCAAGATCACACAAGTTACTCAGATCTGTCCCCACTGAGGTCTGGGAGACACCCAGACTGTCCCCCTCAGATGACAGGAAACTGTTAGGATGTTCAGGAACTACCCGGGCCATTATTATGTTATGTTCAGGAACATAGCCTGCCATTGGACTAGAATCTGCTGGAACACCAGTGTCACTTCCACAGTGAAGCCAGTCTCACATCTCCATGGACCAAGAAAGAAGCTCCTGTTTCAAAATCAACGAGCTCAACTGAAATCTGCCCACGTGGACGAGCCAAACGGCGTCTGGAGAAAAGTTTGATGGTCAGATGAGACAAAGATGGAGCTGATTGGAGGAGCAAAGGTGAGGCTTTCAACCCTGAGAACACTGCAGCTGTGACGCATGGCGGTGGTAGCATCACGCTCTGGGCTGTTTCACTGCCAGTGGTTCTGGTACATTAGACAAAGTGGATGGAATAAAGAAGGAGGACTACCTCCACAATCTTCAACTTCTCCAACCAACAGCTAGACGGGTGAAACTTGGACACAGTGTTGGGTTCCAACAGGACAATGATCCCAAACACTGCATTTGGATAAACCAAGTTAGCATTAAGCTTATGGAATGGGCCTCCCAAAGCCTCGACCTCAACGCTGCTGAAAATTTGTGATATAAGCTTAACAGTTGAGTCTGTGACAGGAAACCAAACAATATACATGAACTCTACTGACTTTTCCAAGAAGAATTATACCAGAAGCCTGTTGATGGGTACCAAAAGGATCTTGGTTGAGGTACAACAAATATTAATGCAGGTGAATGTATATTCTGATACGCCACGAAAATCTGCCATTTGAATCAAACAGTCTAAAGGCACCTTTTAGAAAAAGTTTCTGGGACAACGAATTTGGTTGGAAATGTGTTTCATCACTACAGCGTCCGAGGTGTTGCCTGTTATATACATCCCGATTCGTACTGCATCTCCTGTGGGCCTGAAGGATCGACCTTATAGGTTTTCCACAGAAGACAAAACAATGAAGCAATTCTTCTGACTTGATGAACTGGCCTCACACTGATCAAAGTGTGTTTGATAAAGTTATCACTCACGGAGACAGGTGGCAGACAGCATCCGTGTCGCCATGTACGGTGGAACGCAGTTTGGGAAGACCGGCTGCAGTATGTAGCTGGAGAAGGTAAGCGCGATGACGGCCAGCGTGGTCGGATACATGATGAGGACGGCGCTCCACAACAGGAGGAATCTGGAAGAGAGAAGGAGCTTCAGTGACAAACACAGATTCAGAAACTCTCCATAACTCAGCAGGACACCAAAACACGAGGCAAAGCCCTCGCCGTGGATTTCACTGGTGAATATAAAAAAGACCACGTCCAGTGTGAGTGCAGCTAAAGAACCTCTAGACTTCTGGAGTCTTCATGGTACTCGTAAGACAGTCCAGAATAACCGGGCTCTGTGGCCCAAACTGTTTCCTTTTGTTCGTCATGTCTTTGACAGAAGGACAGTAACGGGTTTCTATTGCAGCGAAATCTCTTTCTGTATCATGACCCACTTTAGGCCATCCTCCAGTTTGATTTGAGGTGTGAAGCGAGCAGCAGCAGCGTCCTGATGGCATCACCTTCATCCACCACAACGAGACGCTTCTGCTACACACATTCGAGTTAATGAGTCTGCGTCCTTCCAACGAAGTGTCGTAACTAGAAAAATTTACATGAACAACAACTCAGAAAGTTTTTGGTACACAACCTGCCTGTGTGACGGCAGAACGTAAATGTTCGGTTGATGGTAAGAACCTGCTGGTTAGCTGTGCTAATTCATGTCTTCCATATCTGTCTCCATGTGTAGTATGAAGCTACACCCTTTACCTGTCCATGTAGACTGACCTACATTGGTCAAGAAAATTATTTACTGGCATTAACCCTGATAAAAAGTCATATTTCTTTATTGTACAGTACTGTGGCAAAGAGTTTGCTCCTTTTCTCTTTTATGTTATTTCCACATTTGAACTTATAGCAGTCTCAGGTTAGTCTCAGGCCCCTGACATTTAGATTTCCATCATCCTAATCCTAATTCAGTGAAGAGCACTGGACACACAAAGGGTCACTCACCCCGTCAGACCTCCAAATATCTCTGTGACGTAGGAGTAGTCGCCTCCAGATTTGGGAATGGTGACGCCCAGTTCAGCATAGCAGAGGGAGCCCAACGCAGCGATGCAGCCTCCCAGCACCCAGACCACTAAAGCCACTCCCACCGAGCCCGAGTGCTCCAGGACACCCTTAGGAGAGATGAAGATCCCGGAGCCGATGATGTTCCCTATCAGACACATTTAACAGGAGTCGAGATCTTTAATATCTTGTATGTTGAATAACCCAGGTCACATGAGGTATGTGTCACTTTGGGGTGCTTTGTTGGTGAGCTGTTATGGTTGCCATGGTTGCCATTAGTTTTTAATCATTCCTTGTGTTTTCTTACTTCTCATGCCTTTTTTCTTGTCCTGTCTATGTCATGTTTCATGTTAGTCTCCTGGTTACTTCCTGGTTTACTTTGTTAGTTTTTTCCTGGTTTTGTTAGGCCTGTGATAGATGGGTGACCTGTCCGGTGTGTGAGCCCTCCCACCTTGCCCTGGGACACCTGAATTTGATAACCAGAAGATGGATGGATGGATAATGTCTCATATTGTCAAACGCCTCAACTCCTCTCTCTTCATCTTTATTTTTGTTGTTGTTGTTGTTGTTTTGGGCCGGGGACACATTGTACATTCATTTGTATTCATGTATTCTGGTGACACAAACATGAGGATCAGGGGTTAGTGTGCCTGTCTGCAAGTCAGGTAGAAGTCAGAATTGATTTTGCAGGGGACGCCCAAAGCATCAGCTCTAAGGAAGGATGAAGAGCTTCAAGCTTTATGAGATACATTCAGGAGAATTTGGCTTTTGCTTGCTGTCAGTCCAGAAATCTGCCAAATACTAAAAAAGAGTAAATGAGACCCAGAAAACAATGCAAAGAATGAAGCTGGAGGTGGAGACCCCACAGGGTCCTGATTGTTCTCTTATTGGTCACATAGCACCATCCTTCTTGCACGTGCTTCTCACATGTGACTTCTTTGTCAGAGAACATCCTGAACATTTCTACTGCTCCAAAGTCCAAACTGGTCCCCTCTGAGTTTATATAGAGGACATAAAGACACAAAGAGCTCCATAACAGAGTGAGTTAGAGAAGGACATACAGGCCATAACTCAGGATGGGAACAATTCCTCCTGCCCAGAGCCTCAGTATGCAGCGTGGAGTACCAGTAGATCCGACACATTCAGTCTACAGCACTACCAGTAGCGTGGCAGAAGGCAGCCAAGTGGCACACACAGCCATTACATAACCAGACATAAATTATCCACTCCAGTCTGCAGAGGTGGGAAGTGACCGACTCACCTTCTGCAGCAGCTCATTCCTGCAGCTTCCTCTCTGAAACATGTCAGCGTTGAAGGGATTAAAAGGTCAAGAAAAAAGATTTGAGTTTGTTTTAATCTACAGAAACATGACTTCAGATGCAGAGCTCCCTGCAGCGTGCAGAGCAGCCAGTTTGTTCCCTCCGTCTCTCTGTGAATGGAAAGGTGTTTCAGCATTCTGCACACAAAACCTTCCTCTTGTTCTGGAGGGAAAAAACATAAAGCCAAGTGTGGATGAGGTCCAGTTAGCCAAGACCTGCACCAACACCCACGGAGGCAGCAGGTTAGCAGCCTGGGTTCAATGCCTTGGAGCACTCCATTTACTCGATAATAAAACCACTGTAGGTCGGCCGTAACAGCTGGAATCCTCATTACACACCGGAAAACTGAACTGATCGCTTGTGGTGAAAAAGAAATGAAAGACAGCTGCTTTAAACCACAGAAATGTTTCGTTGTGTGCAGAGTGTCGGCCTATCACAGCAGCTTGTTTAAGCCTATAAAACACATTTTAGTTACTCATTGTGTTTTTACCCTGAGGTGAAACCATGTGAGCTTCTTGGACAATAACATGGATGAGCTGATAGAGACTCATCATGAGTGTAGTTTGATGTGTTTCATGGAGACATGGCTGCACTCACACCTCACAGACACAGTGTGGGTACCAGGCCTTTGGAGGTTTTGGGTGGACAGGGACGTTAATCCAAGCGGTAAGAAGGAACTGAGGAACTGGAATAACAGCATGAACCTGGACACGTGACCATGAAGGAACATTGAGGAGACTGTTGTTGTGATTTGGCGTTGTATATAAAAATATAAAATAAAAATCGATTTGAACGTTACTGCTGCTCAGATGTTAAACCTCCGGCTAATGCGTCCATATTGTTTGATGAGGGAATTTCCCCCCAATCACTGCTTAGATTCCTCCATCAGCTGATGCAGAGACCATCCACACGACTGTGGTGAACAGCTAGACATACATCTGAACACTTCCTCTAACATCTGTTTCTGCTGCCACAAGGACAGATGAGGAAAATCTTTCCCTGCATCATAAAGATCCTTGTTACAGTTTTTTCTTGGTGACTTGTTAAAGATTTATTTCATTTCTATTAAATTCTGCTCCTTCTTTTGTGGAGTTTTTACCTTGTTGAGCTATTTTCTTTTCTTTAAGCTATACTGTTAGAAGGCATTTTGTGCCTGCTAGTAGACCACAAGGTTAAAATAACCCATCGTGATAACTTAGAGTAACTCTGGTAAGACAGCAAATAGAAAAGGAGACTTTCAGGGCTGTGAATGACTCCAGATCTCATGACTGATTCTTGTCTTTCTTCCTTGGTCAGATCATCTGCCACCATAGTTTGTGCCTACATTCCTATGCTGATGATACACCTCTTTATCTCAGTACCTAACCCTCCACTCAGCTCCTCCCACAATCACTTGCAACTGTCTGCATGAAATCAAAACACGGATGTCATCTAACCTACTCAAACTCAACAGAAATAAAACACAGCTCTTGGTTGTGAGCCCCAGAGTCCGACTCCGGCAGACTAAAAGTCTTCTCATTGACATGAACCCCGAGGTTTGCAATCTGGGTGTTGTTCTGGACGCTACGCTCATCATATCTGTCACCACAGCAGCTTTTTTACACCTTTCGATTTTGGCCATTACTCATTGATTCTGTAGCAGACTCTCCTCCGTGCCTCTGTCACCACCTCGATTATTACAATGAAGTTCTGTTAGAGATTTCCAGCTCCAGTATGTCCAGAACTTATATGCCAGGCTTCTAACTCACGCTGACCTCTGGGAACATATCACCCCCACCTACAAAGCTCCACTAGCAAATCCGTTACTGCTCTGGCCCCTCGTTACCTACTAGGGAAAACCTGCTACTCCATGCTGCTAAGCCGTGGGCCTACTTTCTGTCCTCACAAGAGAAAGGTCATTTATCCCCATACATCCTAAATGACGTTAATGGGAGTGTAAAATATGGCACAGGTATGTATGGTTGGGTTTATGCACAAACAAAATCAGTCTGTTGGTTTGAAAACGGAAAAAACCAAAATCCTGTGTTAAAGTCCAAAGTTCTGCCGACATATACACCAACCACAGCCTCCTCCCTGCATTGATCCACTTCACTGTTTTGCTCCTCTGTGCCATCTAAAGCCACCACGGCGGTCCTCTTGAACCTGGCTCCAGCAGTGAGTGCGTCCCCACAGACTCATGTAAAAACTTCACATTTTACAGCACATTTACAGTGATTTTATGTTATTTTACATTTGACATGTAAAATCACAATTTATTTATGTAGATTTAATGATATTCTAAAATATCATTAAAAGCACACAGTAAAATACTTTTATATTACTTTTTTTTTTTTTACAGTGCAGAAATAAACATGTTTGCAGCCAAGAGACTCTCCAGAGAGGCCTGGGTCTGCTCTGGAACTCGTTTCAGAAGCACCTCACCAGGAGGCCTCCAGGTCTGATTATTGAGGGGGCCATAACCCTCCTAACGCCCTGGAAATTACGCCCCTGGACCCACTGCAACAGGTTTCTTTCAGTGTGGGCAGTTCCTCGCTCTTCGTCCCTAAAGGAGAGCCCAGAAACCCTGGAGAGGAGGCTCATTTCCATTGCTCGTATCTGTGATGTCATTCTCACAGTCCCCACTCAGAGTTTGTGAGTGTAGACGTAGGTAAGAATGCAGATCGGCACCTTTGCTTTCAGACTACGCTCTCATCATCACAGCACACCGTCAATGATCTTGAGGCCACCATAGTGCGCAGCATCCACTTCTTGGCTGTGTCCAACATTCTGTGGATAAAACCTTTGTACAGAAACTTCAGGCTGTAAACAAGCTTATTTCTCTGCGTGTAAAGCTGGACAGTTTAACATGAGAGCCTCTGCCTCAAGTGGACATTAGAGGAACTGCACTTTTTGGCACTTCAGCACCAGGCTCAGTCCCTGAAGGATTCTGTCCGCCAGTGCTGAAGGAAACCTACAGCCATGTATGAGGCTCAGTACAATATAAAAGTTCCTCCTTGTGTCTGTGTGCCAAGCAGAAAAACACAGTTTATATATATATTTTTAAAAGTACTCATTTAGCTTAGATAAACTCTTTTTTGCGCACCACAAGCAGTTTGGATGCTGATTGGCTCACTGCAAACATGCCCAGCATCAAACGGAGGAACAACAAGAGCCCGTTTGAAGCTGACAGTAGTTTTAAGTCAGACTTGAGCTCCTGCAGGCCTCCCCCCTCCATCCACCCTGGATGATGCTCCTCTTTAAAGCTCCCAGCTTCTCCTTCTGCTCCAGCAGACAATGATCTTCTGCTTCACCACAGCCTGCTCCTGGACTTCATGTATTTCAGCCACGTAAGCACTACAACTCAATTTGATGTGAACCCACAACAAATATGGACTCCCTCATTTTTCTACCCCCACAAGCTGTGAGTTTCCTGTGCAGCTTTCAGCTTCTAATCAGCCACAGAGGAGCTGGTCCGTTTCAGCACAGCTCTGATAAAGAACGAGTTTTATGTAAAGTTCTGCTGCACTAAATCAAAAGAAGGAGGAATCTCCTTGTTTTTCAGCCTCACCTATGATGATGGTGCAGGCGCTCAGCAGCCCGATCTCCTTCTTCAGAGTCACTCTGTCGGGGATCTTCTTCTCCTTCTTCCTGCCGTGCGTCCCGGTGCCGTGCGGCCGGGAGCAGATGCTGCCGCTGTTCTGTCCATCCATGTCCGCCTACCCGGGTCCGGTCCGATCCTCCCAGTCCCAGTACTCCCAGTGCTCCTGTCCTCTCCTCACTCCGCATTCATGCAGACTGAATGGGCTGCGCTTGCGCAACAACCTGCCGCTGTCCAGGGTAGAATGTTAAATACCCAGGACTCACCAAGAGGCGTTCAAGGACACGGAGAGGAAAACGGCCCGAGCACTCTCACCTTCTCCCGGTCCTGCCGAAAGGGATTAGTGCAAGACGTTTAAGGACCAGAGTCTTCTTTTAGTCTAAGTGACGGAAAGAAACTCCCCAATTCTGTAAGGATTTAAAGACATTTCATATTTTCAAAAGTATTGTCATTGGCTCATTTGAAAATATATAGAAGAAAGATGAGGTAATATAAAGTTACAAATATTAATGTAGTCGAGTGTGCCAAATTTCAAAGAGCACAGTGTAACACACAGCCCAACATGTCTGTGCATGTGTTAGTATCCTCCGACTGAAATGAGTCGGTCACACAGGAATAACCTGCAGCTCATTTCATCACAATAATACTTTCAGGTATTTTTAAAGCAATAAAAAGAAAAAATGCGAAACTTTGTTTTTATTTTTATTTCACAGTCGTAGAAAACAGTTTTGCATGCATTCAAAATCTGGAAACTTTTCTCTGCTCAGGAGGCAAACTGATGTCCGAGTCTGTCCTTTAAAACTGAACCATCATTCAGGTCAAAATAAATAATGCAGAGTAAAAATCGGCACATGAACCGAGTCGTGGAATTAGCTCAGGCTCAGCTCTGTGGCCAGTGACAGTTCGCAGGTGCTCCCTGCGCCTGCACACGGGAACACACTGGGCAACATGTTAGGTTAACGCTGCCTCCAACGCTTCCTGCTCACGCTGAAGGCTGCGCTGCAAACCGTCGTCTCAGAGACACAAATGTGCGAGTAATTCTTGCATCAGCCCAGCCTGGCGCCTGGTTTAGAGCGACACACGTCAGGCAGTTTGCAGGAAGCCTTCGCTCTCACGCATCTCAGGACGCAAACACCGTGAATGTCGATGCAGATGAGGAGCGTGCCTGACCTGCGGCACCACTGTGAAAAGTGCTGTTTGCTGTGCAGGTCATGGTCACCCGGCTCTGATCAGGAGCGATGGCCCTGATCGTCCAGTGACTGTTCTCATTCCTGGGGTGTCAAATAATCCTGATTTACTCGTCAATTTAAACTACGGTTTTTTTCTATTAGTGAGATGGATCAGGATTCCTGCTGCGACGGGGTTATTCTCCCCCAAACGCCAACCTTTACCTCATTTTAACCGTGCAGGTTTTATTGCTTCAACCTAACCAGCAACTGCAAGCCAGAGTAAAAACTGTTTCTTCAGCCTCCTCGTGCAGACATCTCAGCTCTGGGAACCAGGACTGTTGTCTCTCAGTGTGAATCCATGCTGCAGGAACTTCAGGCTGGATTTTGGCCACTGTAATCTGAACTGAGCTGTTCAGGTCCCGGCAGTGTGTTTGTGGAAGAAGCTATGGATCTGCTGAGCGCCAGCCTGGCCCACGATGGGTTCCAGCTCGGCGGGGGAGGCGTTGCAGAGCTGCTGGATGCTGGAGAAGTGCCGCAACAGCACCAGAGCTTTGACCTTGCCCACCCCGGGGATCTGCTGGACCAGAGCCAGGACCAGAGGGTCCAGCAGGCGGGACGAGCTCTTCCTCCTGAAGGGGTTCTCCCTCCCCTCCCCGTGAACCTGGAGACAACAAGAACAAGCCTCAAATTCAACAAGAAGGCCAGCTTTGATCGGTCTTTTGTTCTGATTGGTTTGAATCCTTTTTGTTACGCAGGGTTTACAGCGCCTGTGACTCACAGATGTTTTCATCATATTTCATTATGTCTCTGTGAAACAAAAAGTCACGTATGAATAAATTCCCCTTATGTTGTGTTAATCCTGAGCTCTCACTGATGTGATTCTGTATAGCAGACCGTTGTCTATGAAAATGAACTTAATGCAATATTTTTATGACACACTTACAAAATGTACCGTAACCCAGAGTTAAGGACTAAAAATCAACACATTCTGGAAATCTTACCATCTGAGTGATGAGCTGTGAGGCGTCGGCCTGCCCGCTGATGGGCAGCAGAGACAGGCCGAGGTCAAACACCACAAACTTCTGCACAGCGGGGAAGTACTGCTCGCTGAGTCTGGTCTTCTCCACCAACACCAGCTCCTGGAAGCTGCTCCCAGCCTGAAAACAAACACGAGGAGCGCCTCCAATATCAACCTGAACATCATCGAGAAGCTTCCAGGTTCCACATCAAACTTACGTTCCTGTAGCGAACCACCTTCCTCTTGTAGCTGCTTCCTGCGATGATGTCACACTCAGAGACGTAGAGGACACTGCTTTTGTTGGGCAGGAGGAAATCTGCCACGCCGAGCTCAGTCTCAAAGAGGATTTTCACACCTCCACCTGCAGCAGATGCAAATTCATTGCACTAAATACACAAACACTTTAGCCAGAGTGGGAAGCACTCACTGTGTGTGGATCTGTGGGTGCTAAAAGCACACTGTTACTAGAGCCATCCAGTCCTTCTCTAAAAGCAAACATTACATTTCTTAAAAGTGCTTTAAAAGTCCAAACACCCACAGCTACAAACATCTGACTGACACTGCCCCCTCACTGCATCATTACATGCAACATGCGGCTTCTGCATTCTACGTTGCGCGTCAGACGACCACAAGGGGGCAGTATATAACGGTGTGCAATTAAAGCCGCTTTAACTGAAACTGAAGAGAAGCTGCCTGCACATAGAACTCACACCGCTGTCTGTATGTGTCGTCATCATTCATTTGATCAGTAATAAAGTGACTGACGTATTTCACCGTACTGAACCTCAGGAGTGTTGTTGGACAGTTTAAACACAGGGACCTCGAGCTGTTCATGCTGCTGGGTTCTGCACATCGACACGACGCTTTTAAAGCACTGTACTTTATGTCAACTCACCAAATGCTTGCAGTCTGACCACCTCACTTATTCACATCTTAATAAGAGAAAAACTGCCAAGTTGCAGCCCTCTGCTGTTATTGCTCATAAAATACAGATTTTTGTGATGAAATCAAATCGCTATATTTACAGAGCTACGTAAGCTATGTCATTCAATTTTAGGCCAAATATCTGATACTATGAGTTTTATGAATATATCCTTTAAAAAAGTGTAGCTGAAGTTTAATAATAAATTCTGAGAGCATGAATTTGTTTGAAAATATTATTATCATCATATTTGAACATTAACATTAAACTCTGGCATCAAAAAATATGTTCTATTGAAAATAAACTATACTTAACACAGTATAAATAATTCAGGAACTGTAAAATAAGGCTTCACATCTACACGCGTTTTGCGTTTCATGCAGAACTCCACCCCCAAAAACACAACCTTAAAAGTATTAAAAGTCAGTACTTTTATAATAAAACGTTAAAGGCGGGTTCTCGTCTGATTTTTGGTGAACATTTACCTTTCAAACCCTGAATGAAGGACGAATTTCTCCATTTGTCGCTGCAGATCATGTGTCCGTAAGGAGGAACCGCGTTAAGCAGCTCAGGCGCTTTGTTCTCCATGCAGCTGAGCGCCACAGCGGGTTAAAGTTGACTTGGAGGACTGTAGGACGTTAGCTACCAGGGTTCGCTTTTGCCTCCATAAGTTAACTCGCTTCCTCCTCCTTCTTCTTTATAGGGTTAATTGGCAGTTGGCAAACAGCAAAATGGTGCACTACCGCCACCAGCTGGTGTGGAGTGTGGACCGAAATGACAAAAAATTGGATTTTGTAAAACCATCGCCCTTTCCTCTCTTCCTCCCCTTGCTTTTGCCACCTTTCCTTCATTTTGTATCCCATTCTACTCTTGATCTCCGTCCCACTAACACTAATATCCACACCTACCATCGGTCTCCTTGTTGCTTCTTTTGCTGTCCTATCTGTTTCATTTCCTTTAACTTCATGATGTGCTGGTAACCATAAGAATGTGACCACAAGCCCCATCATAATTATTCTGAGTAATGTTTGCTGGATCTCTATCAGAATGTCAGTCTGCATTCTGAGTGACTGTCTTGCAGACCGGCCGGTGATGAGCTCGAGTCTGAACATATCACAGAACTTAGTGGTTTTGTTTCTTCAACCCACTGGACTGCTAACAATAATGAAACCATTTCTCCTGTGCACACTGATAAATGGTCACTGATCCTTTTCCCTACTTTGATATTAAATTCAGGAACAATAAATGCTATCCCGCTTTGGTTGGCTGTATTCTTTGATGCATCCATGTAGATTTTGACATAACTACAATACTGATTAATATATTCCTGCGCTGTATGTGAAGATAAACCCCCTCTCCTTGTTCTTTTTGTTTAACAATGTGAAATATGCTACTGCATCAGGGAGCATCCATGGTGGTATTGTAGGCAACGGTGCTGTTTGACTTATGTTGATCTTGTCCAGATTAAGTTCAGCTGCTTTCTGTCCCACTGTCCACCCAAAGCTCTTCAGTTCACCTTTCTCTTTATCCCAGCACGGTTGGAAAACAGTTTTTGTCGGATGATCTTGACCATGTCCTTGTAAACTTGCCCAGTAATTCAATGCCAGTTTGTAATGTCATTTCCCCCATTTCTCTTCCTCCTTTCCTGCCTGTGTTCAGATGACGGACATACACCTCCACGTCGCCCCCTGGAGGACAGGAGGAAGAGCGCACCTGCACGGCCTAGATAATATAAGAACTTTATTTATCTCGAGGGAAGTTCTTTTGTCATCGGACAGTGTAAAAATGACAAAATGCGTGCTAAAAATATTTGTGTTTTTTTTCTCTCCTAGATCCCCCTCCGCCTCCCCCCTTTTTTAAAGATTTTTTTCTAACGTTTTTTGTGGGTTTTTCCTCTTAGGGAATCGGGTTTTATGGCGTTTTTTTCTTTTAAATTTAAATTATTTTATTATATTTATATTATATTATATATTATTATTATATTATTATTATATTTTAATATATTTTTAATAGGAATTTCTTAATCTTATTTTTATTCTCATTTATTATTTTTATTTTTTCTTGTAAATTATTAAGCTTTCTTTCTTGGAATTTATTTGGTAAATTTCCCAGCCTTTTCTTCAATCACGTTTTATACACGAACATATTTTAATGGATAAAATTAATACAAAATAAATAAAATTTTTACAATAAGGAAAAGGCTGGCACCGTAGCGCCCTCTACCGGTCAGACTCGGCACTGACCCCTCCGTCTGCCTTTCTTCGCGCCTTACACTCGCTGCTGCTTTCGCCCACAAACAGGTACGTTCGACCTGCGAATTCGACGCTAAACAGAAACAAGTTACAGGGAAAAAGTTGTTTTAACCGAAGACTGAAAAATGTTTCTTCTTCTTTTTATCATTTGAAATTTCAGTAAAACGGAGCGTAGCTGGCGAGCTAACGTTAGCTAACGGGGCTCAAGTTTAAACAGTTGGCGTTCGAGAAACGGTAAATCTGTTAAATCCGACTGTTTTCTTCCAGTGTCGCTGCTTTCGGACTGACGAAATAAAGAAATGGTGAAAATATCTGTTCTGAAGGTACGTGAGCCTTTAATGGCTGTGTTACTGCTTTAATTAGCTAAACGTGGCTCACGGGTTCAGTTTTGATGCCCAGCAGATGTAGTTGGTGTATTTAACCCTTTCACGCACAGTGGTCACTACAGTGGACAGCTATTCAAAGGCTGTTTTCTTGTATTTGTGTCAGTGTTGATGGTGTATTTGCACATAAAACACTACATTGGACACACATGTGTCCCTTCATACTCTGCCACCCACTGGTCAGCCCGTGGAGTGGTAGCCACCTAAGTGGACATGTAAAAAAACAACAACCAAATCTTAGAAAAGTATGTTTTAAAAAGAAAGAAATTCAAAAACCGTCTTTTCATGCCTAAAGATGAATAAAAAATCCTGATTGTGATTGTCATGATTCATGTGCTAAAGGGTTAAACCTTTAAAATATCACTTATCACAAAGGTGTTTCAGGTGTGATTACTTGTCACCTCCATAACAGAAGATAGCCTTTATTAGTTCCCCACGTGGGAAATTTGTCACATGTCACTGGGAGAGGGTGAAACAAAATAAGTGTAATAATGAAATGCAAAGACTGAAGACTTTATTTTCTTTAATTTGTCAAAATGTAAGTTAGGTATTTAAGTGAAGTTCAAGCTGAGCATCAAGAGGTGCAAAACATACCTTTCTAGGCAGCACAGTGATGATGATGTGTACTTCAAACTGAACTCTGCAGGTGGAGAACCCATCGTGTCTCTGGGGTGCCATTTGGGGTCTCAGCGGCGATGTGGAGACTTCAGAACATTACAAAAAGCTACATTTTCAGATGAACCTCTTCTACCGCGACACCACGCAGGACGTGTGCACGCTAAAGCCTACGTCGTTGGAGGAAGGACGGGTATCAAGACGTCAGAAACATTGTCGCTCCTGTGTTGGGCGAGGTGATAGAGTAAGGAGATTTGTGTGTGCTTTCCTGTCAGGTGTATGTGGTGTACTGGGCGGTAAAGAAGTCGTGGTTTCGGGCCGTGGTGGAGTCGATCTTCGTGGACTCGGTTTCCTGTCAAGCTTGTTGCTTTCTGGTCGACCACGGAGAGCAAGTCGTCGTCCCCTCAGAGCAGTAAGACCAGAGCAGCTTGGGAAAAACTGCTTCCACCTCGTATCACACACACAACAGTCGGGTCAGAATAGTGTACACAATATATCTTTAGGCTTCATGCAAGAACATTTTCAGCCTGTAATCTTAAACCTGTTGGGCCTTCAGTTAGACTTTGCAGCGCCTTTAAAGCTGGTTAGATTTAAGTGCTTCAGAATAAAATATAAGGTTTCAGGTGAAATCTAACTGATAATCCTCATATTTAACACATTTAACATAACTGATACTGCTAAAACATGGCTTCCCACACACAGACTTCAGAATCAGAGAGACTTTATTTATCCCCAAGGGGCGATTAAGATACAACAGAGCAGCATGACATTGAAGATAAGGACAGTGCCTAAACAGGCAAAAAGAGTGAGATAATAAATACACAGGATATACAGGATATACACAGTTTTAAAAGTACACAATTTCAAAATTAAAGTGACTGAAAGGTGAATAAATAACTGTGACTAAAATGGAGTAAAGTGTCGGCAGTATAAAGAGTGTAGAGTAGTTTATGTTTCTGGTGTTGGAAATGTTCTTATCGGCTGGAGCTAAAAAGCAGAGGGGCTTTGGGGACAAAGGTGGCGCGCCTCCTCTCAGTCCTGCAGGAAATGCAGCGGAGGCGCCGCCCAGAGGGGAGCATTGAAATTACAGGGTTCGTACGGGTGCTTGAAATCATTGAAAATACTTGGATTTTAATGTTGTCTTTTCAAGGTTTGAAAAGTGCTTGAATATCAGATGTGGTGCTTGAAAGTGTAGCTGTATTTCATTCACCACAAATAACTATCTGATTGAATAGTTTTCTTATCAGATAGAGAAATA